TTTGGACATGTTGTAAGGAGGGACAGGTCCTTGGAGAGGGACATCATGCTTGGGAGGGTGGAGGGACAGCGTAGGAGGGGAAGGCCCTCTATGAGGTGGATTGAGTCAGTGACTGGGATAATCGGGATGGGTGTGTCAGAGGCAATGCGATTGGCACAGGACAGAGCAGAGTTTAGGGCTGTTGTACATAGGGTCGCTATGAGTCGCAAGCAACTTGAGGGCACATAACAACAACAACAACAAAGTCCCCATGCTCCTGTGGAGGAAATCCATGGAGAAAGACCCAGGAGGAGATGAATTGACACAGTAGCTGAGATAATGGAGGCAGGTGTGTCAGAGACCGTGAGATTGGCTCAGGATAGAGCAGAGTTCAAAGCTATTGTACATCCTCAGTGCAGTTAGCTGCTTAAACCTTGAGGTTAACTGCCCTCTGAGTTAACTCACAAGCCTACAGCTAATGGCTTGTGTAGCTTCCAGGGAGAACAAGCTAAAAGACTTTACATGTTGGTTGTAGATGTGGGAACTCTCAAATCTCCACCAAGATTGGAGATAAAATTGAGATTGATTATAAGTAAGTTGCTGGAACCCTAATCCATTACATGGCTCCTGAAACTGAGCGTTCCCGTGCGTGTCGAGAGTAAGGAGTGCCCCAGAGTTCAGGGCTGATGGAGCAATCTTGGGAGCAGAAGAATCTCAAACTGCAAACAAGGCATAGCTGTTTCCTTAAGCAGGCCATCTCCACTAGGGAGGATAGGAGCACTTCAAATACTTTCAGCAGAGAGATTACTCTTTTCTTTTTTCTCCACTAGTTTATTTACAAAATTTGAGTACAAATGCGGACAAATTATTTCAATTTCCTTCACCCTTTCACTCATCAAATTGTACAACCCAATGATTAATCTCCCCCTCCCCCTTCACATCCACCTCCCTCTGCTTCCAGCTTCTCCCACCCCTCCTGAATCCTTATACTCATTCTACAATAATGGTCTTATACAATATTTATCCTTGTGGGACTGAGTTAGTTCACTGAGCAAAATGGTCTCCAGTCTCTCCCAAGTTAGGTAATAATTTACAAAGTTATTGCTCCTGTGTGCTGCATAGTATTCCATCGTGTAAATGTACCATAATTTCTCAGTCCATTAGTTTGTGGTTGGATATTTGGGCTGTTTACATGTTCTTACGATGGTGAATAATGCTGCTATGAACATTGGTGTACAAGTCCCAGTTTGTGCCTTAGTTCTCATATTCTCAGGTTATATTCCAAGTAGTAGAATCTTGATATAAACTCATCTCTTTGTGAAGGGAGAAAGAGGAGTCCAGTGTTCTTACCCCAGTACTCCCTAAAAACCATCTTTAAAATTGATCTTCCATCACCAGCAAGGCTCCAGGAGGAGGTTGGGATGATTCGTGTATTGGGCTGGTGTGTTCACATATGTGTGATTTAAGGCAGTGACTTCTACTCTCTGAATTCCAGATTCCTCATGTGTGAAGAAGGATGATTGAGGAATGAAATGATGGTGTGTTGTTGTTTTGGTTTTAATTATAATGAAAGTTTACAGACTTAGGGTTTCCAGTCATTCATTGTTGCACTTTTCTCCCTCCCCCTCAATTCACTCTTCTCCTTGAAAAGAAAAAAACTCTTTCATTGTTATGCAACGATGGTGTTTTTAAAGATGGTTTTTAAAGCACTTAGGAGTGCACCCAGCACACAGAGCTCCTAAGTAAAAAAGTGTTCTTTTCCTTGTTAAATATAATGGTCAGTGAGCCTGGTTCATGTAAGTTCTCTGTCCATAGACACATCTCCAAGATCATGTTTTCAGTCTGGGTCATTGTCTCCAATTCCCGCATCCTTGGTATCAGTTTGCAAAGAGTCACCTAATTCCCCTTTCTTGGCGTAAATTTGCAAAGAGCTTGCCAGCTAGTTTCCCCAACTCCATTAATGCAAGCAACTCTATCCAGAGATGAGAAGTGTAAGCTTGACTCTCTCCTCTTCACCAATGACATAAACTGATGTTTGGAGACTAAGTGTCCAAGGTTTCCCAGTTAATCAAAGGAAAGACCAGGCCTTGAACTCATCTCTGATTTTAGACCCTGTGGGAGCCTCAGGGTACCTTGGGCCCAACCAGCAAAGAACTAAGCAGTGAAGGGCCTCTTGTATTCTTGATGCAGACACTGCCCTAAAGGTTATTTCTGCTTTAAATCAATGGAAAATCCAGACTCCAACTACACCAGCTTCGATTCCTTTGCCTGGGCTTTTCTCTCGTTGTTCCGTCTCATGACACAGGATTCCTGGGAACGTCTCTACCAGCAGGTATTATTGACCTGCATGTCCCATGCAACACTGGTTGGAAGCAGGCGGGTTAGCTGCATGGCTCTGCTTTGTCTGGGTGTTTTGTTTTGTTTTGTTTTCCTGAACAAGGCTGACTTAACTAGAAAGGCCCATGTGTCATGAGTGAACCTCTCGCTCTTGATTCTGCAGACCCTGAGGGCTTCTGGGAAAATCTATATGATCTTTTTCGTGCTTGTCATCTTCCTGGGATCTTTCTATCTGGTCAACCTGATCTTGGCGGTGGTCACCATGGCATATCAGGAGCAGAACCAGGCCACTCTGGATGAAATTGAAGCAAAGGAGAGGAAGTTCCAAGAGACCCTGGAGCTGCTCCGGAAGGAACAGGAGGTTTGTGATGGGGCAGAAGCTGTGTCTCAAGCTGTAGTAGGTCCTTGAGAAGAGGTCTGGGCCAGTCATTAGATGTAGGCTGTCATTCTAGGGAGCTAGAGGAAGATTTAGGAGTTACGCTGCCAACCCCAAAGAAAAGCAGTTTGAATCCACCAGCTGTTGACTGTGGGAGAAAGATGGTCCATTTCCTCCTGTGCTATTTGCTGCCTCTGAAAACCTACTGGAGGTTCAGGTATGAGTCAGTTCTGACTCAACTTTACTTAACGACAACAATATAGTAAGGTTCGGATAATCTCTGGCATTATTTTAGGTCAGGTTTTTCTCAAAGAAGAATTTAAGACATGATTATTGTGTACGGAACTCATTGAGTGAGGGCTGTCAGGAGAGGAGTGAAGACACGATGGGCAGACAAGGGATGAGACCAAACAAGGAACAAGGAAGCGTTCTCTTCTGGAGAGAAGCTTCAGTCTGTTCCCATGGGAGGGAGGGTTTCTAGAGAGTGACTGGTATCAGAAGGTACCAGAAGCATCACCTCACATCAGTTAGTCATTGGATACAGTCTAGCCCCACCACTTCTTAGGGAAGGCAGCCAAAACAATTTTCTGAAAAATGCGGCGGCTATGAACCGTTAGTAGCTAACAGCAGCTAGAAATGAGTGTGCTGATCTGATAAAGACCATCTGGGCAGTCCGCTAGCAGAGTCTGATACAGATGCTGGATACGGGATGTGACCCATAGGTGTGCCCCAATTATGCAGCTACCAGGGCCTGACCCTTACCCCAGTCCAAATTTCTCCTTACTTCTGATTTCAGACTCCCTTGTATTCCCCCCACCCCCACGTCTGGAAAATACATTTCTAATAAATTCAACAAGATAGCATTGGCTTCAGCATGTGCTGTCTCTCCTCAGGTCCTGGCAGTACTGGGGATTGAAACTGCCTCTCTCCACTCCCACAATGAGTCCTCATTACCCTCCAAACACGCCAATGAGAAAAAGCACGGGACAAACCCCAAAGTGTCAGAGGGCTCCATCGATGACAACAAATCCCCCCAGTCTGAGCCCTACAACCAACGCAGGATGGTAAGGGACTTATGTTTTTGTTTGGAAAGGATTCTCTACCTTTTCAGCTGCCATGGTGAATGAGTTTAAGTGAGAGGAGATTTGCAACAGGAAGCAAGCTGAAGGCACAGAGATTAGGAAGTTTTAGTAACCCCAACCAACCCTCCTTCATTACTTAAAGTAGGACAGGGTCATTGAGAAATGGAAAATGGACACATGGTAAAGATGTTTTGGGGCATAAAGATCAGTAAGACTAAGGTTATGAAATGTATAAAAAGGAAAAAGATGTCCCACATGACTTCTAGGTTTTAAGTCTGGACAATCAAGTGGGTAACGATACTGGGATCACCTCCCTCTGACACATCAACCTGCATTTCAGTGCCTGGGTCGTTGCCCTGTCCATGGTGCTGAACTACTTTACAAGCTACTTTTTCTGACATCATGCTTCAGGCTCTTTGGTCAGATTCTCATTGGTTGGCTTGGAAGATCCCATTAACTACGTATGTGACAAAATTCAGCCTTATAAATAGCTTCAAGAGATCACCACTGACTTTGTCGACATTTTACTGCAAGTCTTTTTGCCTCTGAAATGTCTCTACTCAATAGGTTTCTGCTCCCCACATTCCTGACCCTTGTGCATTCTATGTACCCCAAGTGTTCCCTTCTCATACAACTGGAAGAAGAGAACCTTTTGAGGTAGAGTAGTCTCCAAAATACAGAAAGACCGGTATGACTCTTTTCTAGATTTCCTACCTCTCATATCCCTTTCAACCTTTTTCTCTTGTGTCAACCCCAAAGACTTTTTACTTTTTGGAATCCCATCCTTCTAAGCCCTGTATAATATACACATATATACATATGCATACATACTGAACTCAGTGACACAATCACTCCTAAGTATATATCTACATCTGTGCTATATCTTTCCTTCCTCTGACTCTTTTTATTCCACATCATCTGAACAATTCAGAAGATCTTTGAAAGGTGATTTGATGAGGGCTTTGACAATCACAGAGCAAAATGAATCACAGCATCCATGAAAATGTCATCTACACCCAAAATCGGGATCTCATTTCCCCTATTTGGTCAAGCTCATACAGATGAGAACCTGAATGTCCAATAGTTAGTGTATATGAATGTCTCTCCAGCTATACTCACCTTCAAAGGGAGAAGAAAATAAAGAGCTACCATGTACAATACAAGGTGCTTGGTATAAAGGGATGACGAAAATATAATCCCTTAACTTGGATGCACAGTCAACACCCATAGTAGCAGCGACCATGAAACTAGAAGTCGGGTTGCGTTGGGAAAATCTGCTATCAAAGACATCTCCAAAGTGCTAAAAAAAGCAACAATGTCAGGTTGCAGACCGAGGGTAAAGTATTTTTATAATTAATAATGAGACAGACTACCAGGAATGATATAGAACAGAGAGCGTGAAAAACAGGGGGCCAGCAGTTCCATGACTGAAGGCCTTAAACCATGCCTCTCTGGGTATTTATTGAGAATCATAAGGAAGGTAGACAAAGTAAAATCATAAGGAAATATAAAACAAAAACAAAGGATAATGGTGAAGTCTTTTGCAGATAAGGCAAGTTCCTCTTTCTGCCAATCTCAGGAGGGAGTTAATACATCAGTTAATACAAACTAAGAACAATGTTGACTCTTAGGGAATGACTTAGTGCCACAAGGTGACCTTCAGCTTGTATTAAGCCTCCCTCATTTCCTGATATATCATCTGGTTTACTATTAAAATATTAAATTTAATATTCAGCTTCCCTCAATGTCAGTCTAAAGTTAGTGGTGAGTCTAATCCAAGCCATGGTGTTTTCAGTTGTCTCCTACACATTTGAAATTTGGAATAAAGATGACAAAAAAATTGATGCCTTTGAGCTGTGGTGTTGGAGAAGAATACTGCATATCCCATGGACTGACAAAAGAACGAACAAATTTGTCTTGGTGGAAGTGAAATCAAAGTGCTCCGTAGAGGCAAAGACAATAAAACTTCATCTCCCATATGCTGAGCAGGTTGTCAAAAAGGACCAGTTCTTAGAAAAGAACAGCATGCTGGGAAAGGTCGAGGGCCAGATAAAGAGAGGAAAACTCTCAACAAGGTGGAATGGACAGTGATTGTAACAATGGCTGAAACATATCAGAGACCATGAAGATGGCACAGGATAGGGCAAGGTTTAGATCTCTTGTTTCTAAGATTACTATGAGTTAGAATCGACCCAATAACACCACTATGAGAGCAAAAGATAAGTAAAGAGGATTGTGATTGTGGAAAACAATATTTCTGTTCCCTAAACAGTTGGAAGTAGAAACAACAGTTGATCCAGAAATGCATTTCTTGTTATATATTCTAAATAAATAAGGACAGAGGCACAAATTGCAGGATTATTTACAATAGCAAAGACACAGAAACATGTCTAAGTGTCAACTGAACAGAAAAATAAGTTATATTACGCATTCATAATGGAATACCATAAAAAGTTAAAGAACAACGAATTTTCAAGATACTATATAACATGGATGGGCATGAAGGACATTTTTGCTGAGTGAAATAAGTAAATCACAAAAGCACAAGCATTGAATGAGCCCACTATTATAAAAGTTAAGGAATTAATTATACACACAAATAAATGTGCATGTACAAATATCTACAAAACTAATATATAGGTGGGCATAGTCCACTGGGGATTAATTTTATAAAATGTATACTATATAACATTTTATAAATATTTTATAGTATATTTTATAGTATAGTATTTATAGTATATATATAGTATATATTTTATAGTATATTTTATAGTATACACAAAGACATCAACATTCTTCAATAGTTACAAGGATGAAAGGAGACAGAAGAAGAAGGGAATAATCAGTAATTAGACAATAGACATATTAAGTTAGGTGAAAGGAAAGGCTATATGAAATCAGATGATTAGCATAATATCAGTAAATAAAAGGAAGACACAAAGAGGTGGACAAGAGTTAGAGACAACAATAGACGACTACATACACTACCCTTTATTATCGATAACAGCAAACATTAACCTCCAAGTGGATGCATAGACCAAAAAGATAAACAGACATGGGTGAGTAAAAGGGACTACACCCATGACCAAACATAGGGACTCTTGTGTGTGTCTGTTTTAAATTGTTATTTTATATTTATTTGCTTACAAAGTTCATATACATCGTGTTTCACAGTATTATTCATTCATATAGTGTTTCATACAATCATTTCCATTCATTACATTTTATAAAATTAATCCCCAGTGGACTATGCCCACCTATATATTAGTTTTGTAGATATTTGTACATGCACATTTATTTGTGTGTATTGCAAATATATCCATGTATATAGTAAAGCCAACAAGGGGCAAAGCTATAAAATTTCTTAGCCATAACCAAAGAACTTTTTTTTAAAAAAATTATTTTTAATAGATTTTTTTAATTATTATTTTGTGTATGTGTGTCTGTGTACCGTCAGATCAGATCTGACTGGTACAGGAGGAGATTGTCCCTCCTTTCCCGGCAGAGCATCTGGTGGATTTGAACCATGCGTCTCTGGGATTGCAGTGTAGCTTCTTGCCACTAGGCCACCAGAGCTCCCCAAATTTTTATTTTATATTGGTTTGCTTACAAAGTTTGTGTACATTATTTTTTGCCCTGGATCTTTCTCATTTCTTTTGCCACCCCTCCCTCTACCCGTCACATTTTGCAACCCAATGACTACTCCCCTGCCCATCCTCAACTCTCTGCTCTTACCCTTCCTCCCTTAAATCTTCATACTCATTTTACGAGATATATTTTTATTACTACAATAATGATCTTATAAAATATTTGTTCTTATGGGACTGAGTTTGTTTGCTTAGTATAATGCTCTCCAGTCCCTCTCAAGTTATGTCATCATTTCCAAAGTCATTGCTTCTGCATGCTAAGTAATATTTCATCATGTGAATGTGCCACAATTTCTCACTCCCTTCAGTTGTATAACCAAACATCTTAAGAGGATAGGTTGACTGGCCTTAGGATTAGAGTCTTGGAGAACATCAAAGCTAATTGCATGACATAAGGCTGGTTACAGAGCCTTAACATTATCTTGGAGGATATTAAGGTCAATTGCATGAACATAGCCCACAAAGACAACGTTCTACACTCTCCATTGGTGGGTAGCAACTTGAGTCTTAAAAGCTTGCAAGTAACCATTTAATATACATATATTGTCTCTCCTTGTCTGGAACAAAGAAGAGGAAAGAAAAATAAAGATACATAAAGCAAGCTATACTAAAGACGAATGAACCACATGAACCTCAACTTCATGACCCTGAGACCAGAAGAACTAGGTGGTGCCCAGCTACCACAGTGGATCGTTCTAAAAGGGATGCCAAAGGAGGGTCTTGAATAGAGTGGAAGATAAATGTGAAACCAAACTCAAAATCATAAAAATATCCAGGGTTACTAGACCTGGATGGAGATGGTGGAACCCCCAAGACCATGACCCTTAACCATCCCTTGAGCCTAGAACTGGACTCTCCGTTGGGACTCAATTTTCACCAAAATAATAAAAATACCTGTAAAGTGAACAGTAGCACCAGGGTGATTCTCAGTCTTTAGAACAATTAACCATGCAGGATCAAAAAGGCAGCATTTGTCCAGGGATAAAGCTCAGGTGGCTGGAAAGAAGAGTCTAGACAAAGAAATGGAAACAAAACCTACAGAGAGCTAGTAGGAGGCTTGCCACTTCAAGGTATGTTTGTTACATAAAACAAACTATGTATGGATGATTGAAAGAATACTAACCTGCTCTGGCATAAAAACTAAAATTTAAAAAAAGAGATAAGACATTCCATTTCCGTGAGATAGTGGGATAAGTAAGAAGAATCGAATTGACAAGATGTTCCAGTTCTAGAAATTGAGTAAATAAACAGAATTCATCAAAGCGGGAAATTCAGCAGAGTGATCAGAGTTAGATAGGAAGTGCGTGTTTTGGTTTTATTACCGACTGTGACCAGAGAGCAACTAGAGGCTCGTTACGGTGAGGTTCCCCCGTGTTCGTGGGAAGTAACCAGGACAGCATGCTGACTACCCACGCTCGCTCCTGGACCTCTCAATTAGCTCCTTTCCTCGGGCAACTGGAAGCCACACAGTTCCCTCAGTGGGAGAGTTTGATGGGAAATGTTATTGATTTGAAGGAATGGTATTGTTCTTCCAGGAAATTAGACTGCAACTCTTCTCTCAATCTCTGCGTTGTTACTGTTCAAAGCTTGCCTCAGGGGATCCTGGAAGTTCATTAGATTATAAAGCACTTGTCTCTTCCTTTGCAATATTAACTCCTAGCACCCTTCAAGAACGGTTCTAATGAATTAGAGAACCTAATTTTCAGACAATAAAGTAGTGGTGGCCTAATGGCAAGAAGCTGTGCTGCAGTGCTGAAGGCATGCAGTTCTAATCCAGCTGCTTCACAGGAGAAGGATGGGCAATCTCCTCCCATGAGATTAACTCCCTCTGAAAACCTGCCTGAGGCTCAGCTATGGGTCTGTTCCAACTCAACAGTACACAACAACAACACACAACTGTTTCAGTCACCAGTAATTCACCAACCATGTCCCAGCGCAGTATAGCTGAGCTTCATTGAGCCCACAAAACATCTGAATGTGAGGAAGAAAATCTAAGAAATCGTTTGTGCAGCCCTGTGATCAAATACGAACAAAGAGATGGGATCCCTCTGAGTGACCAGGACATACTCTGGCACGGCGACCTAGTCACTGAGCTGCAGCACCCCGTATTTTCCCATCCCTTCTAGCCTTACCCCAGAATCTACCTAGAATATTCTTTTCATCATTTCTACTCCTTCTCACATATCTACAAAGACCACTTGTATCGGTCTTGAGCTCTCTATTGCATTCCACGGAGCTCTGGTGGCTTAGTGGTAAGGAGTTGCAAAGTCAACCCAAAAGCAGGCAGTTAGAATCCATCAGCTACTCCAAGGGAGAAAAATGGGTGATCTCTTCAGAAACAGGGGCAATTTACAGCCTCTGAAAACATGCAGGGTGGTCAGCTATGAGTCTCAGTGTTGTGTAGCCTTGTGACGCAAACAGAGAATGTTGGCAAGATATATTGTCATTGCAAGTCACACTCTTCATGGGGGATGCAAGGTCCACAGCCCATTTATAATTTCACATAAAGTCATTCCTAAGATAAAGCATTAACTGTAATTCAACTACTTTTTTCTTTTTTTTTACTAATTTATTTATAAAATTCTAATACAAATTTGAACAAATTCTTTCAATTTCCCTCACCCCCTCCTCATCAAATTGTACAACCCAATGATTAATCCCCTCTTCCCCCTGCACATCCACATCCCTCTGCTTCCAGCCTCTCTCACCCCTCCTGGATCCTTATACTCATTCTACAATAACGGTTTTATACAATATTTATCCTTGTGGGACTGAGTTAGTTCACTCAACATAGTGCTCTCCAGTCCCTCAGAAGTTAGGTAATAATTTACAAAGTTATTGCTCCTGCGTGCTGCATAGTATTCCATTATGTGAATGTACCATAATTTCTCAATCCATTTGTTTGTGGTTGGGCATTTGGGCTGTTTCCACATTCTTGTGAGGGTGACTAATGCTGCTATGAACATTGGTGGACAAATCTCAGTTTGTGGCAATTCACCTCTTAGCAACCAATCAAGTGTAACTATCCAAACCATCATTGTTAACATAAATTATAATTGTAGCTGGTATTCAGTACAAGCAACAGTGCTCACCACAGCGGACAGAATTTGTCACTAAGTTCCAGCAGAGACTTGGGTCAAGGGAGACATGAGACAGCAAGCATCTTGTCTTCTCCAGTGCCTCTGGTTTGTGGCTTTGAGAATTCCATTTAAATGCCCTTATTTCATGCAGCTTCAGCCAGTAAGAGTCTCTCAGAGCTGAGGTGTAACCAATCAGAATTCTTTAGTACATGCTGTCCTGCAAGTTCTCCCTTAAGGGTGCAACCAATCATAGGGGTACATGATATCAGCTGTTCCATCCTTGGGATTAGCCCATTGAGTCTCTGGGCATCTTCTAATTAACACATTAGGCCTCTGGGCCTGCTACAACATCTTCTGATTCACATGTTAAACCTTTAGGTGTTTTGTGGCAAATATGTAGCCTATTTACTCATCACAACTTGCCTTTTTAGCCGCTCTAAACATAAACATCATGAAACAACAAACTTATCTTACTTTCATGCAACTTATCCTTCTAGCCACACTCAACACAGCAAACATAGTCATCATGACAGAGCAAACTTACATTCCTCCCTTAACATAATTTTAACTAATCTATACTCTTATTATATTTTTGACAGACTTGTGTTCTTAATAGTGAATTCCAATTCCATGGCACATAACAACAACATCATTAATAATTGTTGTTCTTAGGTGCCTTCAAGTCGAGTATAGCCCATAGTGACCCTGTGAACAACAGATCGGAACCGTGTCCTATCCTGTTCCATCCTAACACTCACGGACAGACCAGAGTCCACAACAGCATTCACTGTAGCAACCAATCTGGTTGAGAGTCTTCTTCTGTTTCCCCGACCCTCCACCTTTCCAAGCACAAAGCATCTCATTTCTCCTGTGGGTCAGGAAATAAGGACAGGCAAATGGAGTAGAAGGGAACGATGGGTTCCAGACGTGCCTGCAGTACGAGCTTTTAGCCTCTCTTTCTTCTTTCCTTCTCCTTTGGGTCAACGCCCAGTCTTTCCTAGGCCTTGCTTCTGGAAGACGACGGGCTAGCCATGGCAGTGTGTTTCATTTCCGGACTCCGGGCAGAGACTTATCATTCCCTGATGGAGTCACAGATGATGGGGTCTTCTCTGGAGACCGTGAAAGCCACCGAGGCTCTATGCTACTAGGTGGGCACGCGGGCCAACAAGGCCCCCATGCTAGAAGCTCACTGTCTCCACCTCCCAACCCGGGCTCGGGTCATGGTGAAGATGGACACCTCACACTGCCCACCAGCGAGCTGACCCCTGGCACCATGGATGGCTCGGTGAGTTTGTGGATGCTCCAGACCCTCTTGGGCTGCCTTCCAGGTAAGCATCCTGAGGCAGGAAGGCCACGTGTCAGCAACAGGATTCTCTAGACATCAACACTGGCTCATTTTACCGACTGGGAAAGTAAGATCCAGAGATCCAGAAAGAGATTGTATTTACCTGAAATCTATCGAGTTTTCTGGTTTACTCTGCAATACAGTGAAGAAATTCTTTTCTATTTGATCTCATGTTTCTTTACAGTGTTTCTCTGCTGTCACTCACTGTCATTGTTTTGAAGACAGGCCTACTTGTTCCTAGATGAGTATGAGAATACTAAAGGTCCTTCACTTGCTGCTTGTGGCTTTGCCCAACTAACCCAGGCTTGGCAAATGATACCCAGAGAGATCTGAAAGGGGCCCTTCAGTTAAGGGACTTGGGGGAAAGTGCACAAATTCAGCAGCAGTAGCCAACTCTCCAACATTCTTAATACAATAATCTAAGAATGTAATGGCAGACCAGGGACTCCTCACCGATCAAGAGCTGTGATTTCATTTGAGTTCCCCACCCCCCCAATTTGCAGTAATGATAGGCTTACTGTATTTTACTTACTCCATCTGGCTGGTCAGGAATACAGAGAAGTGTTCCACGGACTCTGTTAAGTCTTTCAGAGTTGTCTTACTTAGGCCAGACTCTGACTGGATGTCAGCCCAGCAAGAAACAAACAAGTGTCTACAATGAAGAAATGAAGAGAACTTAAAGGAAAGTTTGCCGAGGGGTGGCCTGATTTCATTCCTGGATGGCAAAACAATTAAGCATGTGACTGTTAATCAAATCAACCAGAGGTTCCTCAGAAGAAAGATCTGGTGGCATTTTATTTAGAAAAAAAAAAAACCAAATCAGCCATTAAAATGCCGTGGAGCTCTGTGAGGTCACCATGAGTTGGAAGTGACTAAATGACAACAGACTTTGTTTGGATTCTTGGACTGAGTTAAAGGAACTAATAATAATGGTGGGGAAACCCAAGGACTGGCAATGGTGCAACTTGGTATGCTTTGGCTTAAGCGTTGAGGGAAGGCACTAGAATCATAATCTCACAAGAGCTGTGACTTGGAGAGTCTCCTTGTCTTCTGTAGCTGGAGGATGGCAGGCAGTAATAAATCACCTACATTTAAATGCGTGTGGCTGAAAAATTAATAAATATTAGCAATGAAAATCATTCGTTGAGTCCTCACACTTGGAAATTTTCTAAAGTTTCTTTTTCTTTACTAAGTACCTCTCCTATGCCTATGGTTTTCATGGTCTGCTTTTTGAGTGGACTCTGAATGGCTTCCTGCAGTGTTGAAGCAAGAGGGGCTTCCTGACAGAAATGAAGAACTTAGGGAGAGCTTAGGTAAACCCAACAACAGCTCGACCAGGAAGAAGTGAAAGAATCTCTCTCCTTCCATCCTCTGGCCTTCTGTCTGTGCCTACCACTGCCTGAACCTGAGCAGAACCAGGGGTGAGGGTTATGAAGCTCCTTCCAAAGACAGAGAACAGGGGAGACAGAGCAGAGAGAGTCTCAGAGGCAAATAAGAATCATTACTATTGAGTTCTGAAGTCAAACCCTTCAGAATGACTTGTTCAGGAAACATCACGTTGGACCACCTACCCCTCACTTATCTGTTCTGAGAATATCTGTGTCCTAGGTAGTAACACTCTGGGTACCAACAGCCAGGAAACAAAAAGATGAATTGCATTAGCAAAGTCTGCTGTCAGAGACTTCTCCAAAATATTGAAAAGCAACGATGTCAGTCTGGAGACTAAGGTGCACCTGATCCAGGCCACGATCTTTGCAATTACTTACTATGCAGGAGAATTGATGCCTTTGGGCTGTGGTGCTGGAGAAGAGTGTTGAATATATCCTGGACTGCTAGAACAAATAAGTTCAACCTAGAGAGTGTGAGACTAAGCTGCTCCTTGGAGGCAAGGATTCTGAAGCTTCATGTGAGATACTTTGGATACGTTGCAAGGCAGGACCAATCCTTGGAGAGGGACATCATGCTTGGGAGGGTGGAGTGGCAGGGCAAGAGAGGAAGACCCTTGATGAGATGGATTGATTCAGTGACGGAGTAATGGGGGTAGGTGTGTAGGAGACAGTAAGACTGGCACAGGATAGGGCAGGGTTTAGGGCTGTTGTACATAAAGTCACTGTGAGTCACAGGTGACGCACAGCACATAACAACAACAACAAACAACAAGAAGATAGTCTAAACCTGGCCCATCCTGGTTTGCTTTTACTTTTGTTTCTGGCTAGTGCATGATTAACTCTTCAAGCCTTTCTGTGTCACACGGGCTTGGATTTCAATCCTGACTGTACCATTTACCAACCAAATCACCTTTAGCAAGTCCCTTAAAATCTCCAAGTCTCCTCATCTTCTGCAGAACGTTTCCAGAAAGACAGAGGACGATATGAATAATAAATCACCTACATCTGAATGCATGTGTGGCTGAAAAAGTTTGTAAAACATTAGTTATGAAAAGCATCCATTGAATTCTCACGGTTGGATATTTTCTAAGTTCTTTTCCTTTACTAAGTACCTCCTATGTTGTGTTGAATTGGACTCTGCATGGTTTCCTGTAGTGCTGACTCAACTTACGCGGGGCCCAGAGTCCACAAGTCATGAGTAAGTGTGTGTGGCTAGACGCAGAGGCCTGCTATCGTCCCCAGAGAGGACTTCAGGGAAAGCCCAAAGAAAGAAGGACTAAAACAACAGTACCCAGTCTTATCTCCCAGCCACACGCGAGACTTTGAAATATTATGTCAGACAATTTAATAGCTAGGTAATCAAGACACATAAATGTTCTCTGCAAAAGAACATGAAATTGTATACTGGCAAAGGAAGTGGACTTATTAAAAGGGAGGTTGAGAAACCATATATATCATGGGGTAAGAAGTCTATGTAAAAATTGCATATACTTCCCAGAGGAAGTATTGTAATTACTTCCTGACCCATTGTCCCTAAAGTGCTCAGCTCCTCTTCTCAAAAACCTCAAGAGACCTTTGAGGCTGTCCCATGCCCACTCTGATGTCCAAGTCCTGTCCTAGCATGTCGGTTTGACGAATCTCTAGTGAGTTCACTTACAGCCGGGCTAACCTCTGATCCCACCGTAACAGTGTGTGCTGATCCACATGCCGGAACTCTCACCCCACATCCCCAAGCAGAGGGTCATGGCAGCTTCATTGAGGTGCTCGCCGCCCCTGGAGCGTGGCCAATGAGAGGCTGACTGACCCTGTCACTGAAGGCTTTTTGTTTGGGATCATGTCCTGACTTTGTGTGTCTGTCTCAGCAGGCACTTGATGGAGGACAGAAGACTTTCCTGTCAGCAGAATATTTGAACGAGCCCTTCCGGATCCAAAGGGCAATGAGTGTTGTCAGTATCATGACCTCGGTCCTGGAGGGTAAGTGCTGCTCGGGGGAGCGTCCACTCCACCGGGGCGAGCAGTAGAGGGACTGTCTAAAGCCCGTGCCAAGCGGATCCTGTCTCTGCGGTCCTCAGACCCGAGTTACTCCTTTCTTAGCCCTTTGCTCACACTACTCTCTATCAACATTTTTTCATATTGATAAATTTTCAAAAACTAAGTCAGTGAATGAAATAGTTCTAAGTGATTTGAACATCTGATCCACTGGTATTCCTATAACTACATATTGTTGTTGTTGTTGTTGCGTACCGTAGCATCAGAACTGACCAATAGCTGACTCTCTAATGGGTTTGATTTTGTTGTTGTTGTTTTGGTTTTTATTTCCATTCATTCACTGTTGCACTTTTCTCTCTGGCCACCCCTCCCCTCCAGTTTGTTCTTCTCTTTGCAAAGTAAAAGAAAAATTCTTTCATTGTTATACAATCCCTCCTCCCAAGTCCTCTCCAGCCTTCGTTCTGGACTCCTGTCATGACAATAAGACCTAATCATATATACCTTTTAAACAGTTCCCTCTCTCACTGTTTCAATGCAGTATCACATGGGAGGAGACTGACCATCCTTCTTCTATGGAGCAGCTGGTGGCCTCAAGCCGCGTGCTGTCGGGATTGCAGTGCAGCTTCTTGACACTAGGCCACCAGTGCTCCCTAATTTTATATATATATATATATATTTGTTGTTGTTGTTGTTGTTATGTGCTGTCGAGTCGCTTGCGACTCATAGCGACCCTATGTGAGAGAGAGAGAGAGAGAGAGATAAAATATTTGGTAATCTGGCAAATGCCAGAGAATAACGAAATGTTCTTGCTTATGCAGGTATGCAAAATTTAACCTTGTTTAATTTTCTTTTCTCTTTTAATTTTTCTCTTACGCCTCATTATGCTGCATGTTGAAAGACAAATGACAGTCAGTTGAAAGAAATCCTTGTCATTTCAAGGTTCAGTCAATCAAATGGGGACTCCACTCAATTTTACCAGGCAGAATTTAATTCCAGGTGCTTCCCCAAAGCCAGTGGGTGGAAGAAGAGAGATGCCCTGGCAGGGAAGGAGGTTCTGGCTGTCTGAGCCTGTGTTTTCCTAATCCTGCCTTTATTTTCCTCAGTATGTGGAAAATAGGACCTCAGACAGATCCAGTTATTCATGTTTTCTAAAGAAATGAAGGGAACTCTGGTGGCCTAGTGGTCAGGAGCTTCACTGCCAACTTGAAGGTGCTTGGTTTGAATCCACTAGCTGCTCTGTGGGAGACGGATGGGCTGTCTCCTCCCATGCAACTTACTGTCTCTGAAAACCTTCTGGAGGGTCAACTAGGGTTTGGTTCCTCCTCATAGCATAACAGCAATTTGAAAATGTCTTAAACTGAAGGAAGAAGCAGGGAGCTTGGGTGCTGGTGTATGGCCCTGTGTTTTCTCCTTCTAGCCCTTGAATGAGTCTTAATGTAGGATGAGAGAGGTCATAGTGGCAAATACAGATGCAAAAAAGAATGTTTGGAAGGTTTGAAAAGAGAACAGATCTGGGCCTTACTTTCTAGGTGAAACCAGAGGGTTCGAGTCTTATAGAGAAGCTAACATACCCAGCATGGTATACAAATGTAGAATAAAACTAGATGGGAATGGACTTGTTGAGAGGCCTAGGGAAGCTCCATGTTGTTGTTGTTGTTGTTGTTGATTGCCTTGGAGTCAAGCAGGACTCATAGTGACCCCATGAACAAAAGGCCTGTAGCCTTTCTATAACTATAGACATTTATAAAAGTTCATAGAGTTTCCAGAGGCATGTTGTTTAGGAAGTAGATGCCACTCCTGCTTCCAAACCTGTCAAAGAACATTATTGGCTGAGTCACCAGCGATGTACAGCAACCCTATGTACAGCAGCTCTGGACTTTTCCCTGTCCTGAGCCAGTCTCACTAATTCTGACACACCAACCCCCATTGCCCCAGTCACTGTATCAATCCATCTCATCTGGGATCTCCCTCTCCTGCACTGTCCATCCACCCTTCTGAGCATGATGTCCTTTTCCAAGGACCCATCTCTCCTGGCCATGTGCATAGTGACCTCGAAATGATGGCATGTAGCTGGATGATTGTCTTATCAATACTGGAGTCTGTTAAAGGAGATGGGAGAGTCAGACCTAGAGAGGCTAAGAGGAAAGCAGCTATATCGGTTGACTTCCCCACCAGAGACTGATACGATGGCCAAGTAAGATGAACTTGACAATAACTAAGCCCCAGCTGCACACCATTCCACCAACCTCCTCATAACATCAAGCCCCACAGAACTCAAACATAATCTCAGCTCATGACGTGGTAGCCAGTAGTGAATTACCGAAACCAAAGCCCAAGTCAGGAACTGGAAGTATAAATGGAGTTCAACAATTAGATGGTGGAAGCCGTCTAAGTTACATTTTTTTTTTTTTTGCATTCTCGAGTTTGTTTCTGAGAACTGTTTACCTATTTGTTGTTGTTACCAACAACAATGAATAGAGGCTCTCCGGCGTTATTTTTTTGCACTGATAATTATTTTAAATTGGCATTTTATTCTAAGTGTGTCTGAACTAGCATTTTTCATGACAGCACAACATTTCATGTGGCTATGCCCTTAACTTTTTTCCCTCGATGAAGTGGATTGATAAGAAATCCTTTTTGTTGTTATCATAATTAACTTGGTTTTTTATTAATTACTCTGCTTCCTCCCTCTGTCAACGTTGTGTCTGTCACTATTCCAGTTGTTGGAAATTCAGTGGTGAATAAGAAATAAACTTATTTTTCTAAGGTCTGTATTTTGAAAGGAGGAGGGAGATACAAATGGAAAACACAAATAAGTATTCACCCGTAATAAAAACCAAGAGAGAAAAATGAAGGAGAGAGGCATTAGGTGGGAGCTTGGGAATAGGGCTGTTTTAGATAAGGTGGTTGTGGAAGGCCATTTTCTCTAAAAGAGACCAGAAATCTGAATGAGGTAAGGGAATTAGCCATGAGAGAGCTGAGGGGAGAGTGTTCCAGAGAAAAGAACAGAAAATTCAATGCATTTTTCAGAGCTGAGACAGGAGTGAACACAATGTATGCCCCAAATACATCTCCATTTGGATAAAACAAAAGCTGTTCACGGGATAAATGAGAGGCCGTAACATGTGGTGGTTAAAAGCACAGACTCTGGAACTGAGCTACGGATTTGTGTCCTGGAGGCTTTGTTAGGTGCGTTTGGGCTCCATTAACCGCTCTGTACTTTCGTGATCTCATCTGGAAAGCAGTGACAGTACACTCAAAGTGTAACATTTCTGTGATGATTAGAAGTGAGTTGGAAAAAGCCAGGTGCTTGGGACCATGACCAGCACACACTCAGTACTTAGCAGACGTGTCACCATTATCCACGAGACTGTAAATTCCTTGGGGGCCAGAAGTATGTTCTGCTCCTTGCTGCCTCTCTGATACCAATAAAACCATGGATGGCACATAGCACATGCTCAGCAAAGACTTAAATGAGCGTTAGCCTCAGTGATGCAATTGGGGGTGGACTACTAATTTACGATGACTTGAAGGAATAGGCAAACAAGGAGAGAGTAAGGAATGGTCAGATATTTTGGAGAGGACTGAGTTCCCCTCAAAAAGACTGTGAAATGAGACTAGGGAAGGAGGAGAAACAGTGATAAAGTCAAAAGCAAGAATAGTTACCCATGGCGGACAGTGTTTGGTGAAGCTCCCCGATTAAAACAAACTTGGAAGCAGGAGTGGCATCCACTTCCATAATAGCTTGCCTATAGAAACCCTATGAACCTGGAGAAAGGACGACAGTTATACAGGGGTCCAGGACTTTTGTTCATAGGGCCGCTATGATTCGCCTACGACTCAACGACACTTAACAACAACAAAGGGAAAACTTAGGTTGGGCCAAGGAGTTCAGCATTTTCTGGGCTCTAGTTAATTGACCAGCCTGCTGTGATCCTATCTAAACGTTATGCCTGTTACGCCCATTACTCCCCTAGGGTAAAGGATGCAGGAGGCTGTCAGAGTGTTGATAGAATTCACGAAGCCTACCTATCTCTTTGGGAGTAATTGTGGCTAAGAAAGTTTGTCCTGAGCCAATAAAGTCTTGGTAATTCAGTAGCCCCAGGGAATCATCAATGCTTGGCATACATCCTAAGACTTCATAATTTCCCCAAGCCTGAAGCAGGAACCCAGCGGTGAGCACAACCAATTCTGCTCTCACCCTTAGCAGGAAAGATGGTCATGAAATAAGTTATTATCAGGGTGTAGAGTGTCTTGAGACATGAAGGGTGCTCAAGGAAATATAGTTAAGTTGCTCCTGGAGTCAGGGAACTATTTCAGGCAAAGAAGGCAACCAAAATCCTGAATCAGAAGTGACCATAACATTTGAAAACTGAAGGGGGGAGGAAAGACAAATGTGGACAGGGCTTCCAAAGAAAGAAGGAGAAAAGCTCAACGTGAGTCAAGAGAGATGGACTGGAGCCAGGTCCCCAGAAGCTCATAGGCCATATTAAGGATTTTGAACTCCATCGTAAGAGCAGTGAGGTACCATTAAAGGATTGGAGGCAGGGGAGCTCCAATTACATTTTAGAAAGGTTACTCTCTGAATGCTTGTGGAGAACAGAATTAAGAGGAGGGAAAGTGTTGGCAAAGAAACCAATTAGGAGGAAGCCAGGTGAGAGATGACAGTGTTTGGCCTCTGAGGTGGTGGCTGTGGGAACTGAGAAAAAACTGGAAGGATTCAAGAACTCTCTGAGGGGCATAACATTCAGAGCATGCTGATGTACAGGTTTCTGGCTTGAGCAGCTAAAGGGATATGGGTGCAGCTACGCCAGAGGGGAACACTTTAGAGGAACGAGCAGCATCTTTGGGGAAGAATGAGAGAAGATTAGTTGAGTCTGAGTCCTTTTGTGTTTCAAACATCTTTTTTTTTTGTTATATATCCATTATGTTGTGTTTTTTTTTCTATAATTATATTTTATTAATTTTCATAAACATTTACAGAG